CTTTAAAAAGGTCTTTTGCAGCAGATTTGCCCAATGCACTACGTCGTTGATCTCTTGAGTGTGGATTGTGAATACAAGCAAAATGAAGTCTTTGACAACTTCAATCTTTTCTCCATTTATCATACTGTCACTTATTGGTCTAGTTGTGAGGCTTTTTGTTTTCTTTACATTGAGGTGCAACCCAGACTTAAGGCTTTGATCTTTATCAGTAAGCATTTTAAGTCTACTTCCCTTTCAGCAAACAAGGCTGTATCATCTGCATATTGCAGGTTGTTTAATGAGTCTTCCTCCAATCCTGATGCCATAATCCAGCTTCTCATAAGATTTGCTCATACAGATTGACTAAATATGGTGAAAGGTTACAATCCTGGCACACACCTTTCCTGATTTGAAACCATTCAGTATATCCCTTTGTTCTGACATTTATGTACAGGTTCTTCTATGGCACAATTCAGTGTTCTGGAATACCCATTCTTTGCAATGTTATCCCTAATTCATCCACATAGTTGAAAACTTTTTTAGAATCAATAAAGCACAACTAAATATCTTTCTGGTATTCTCTGCTTTCAGCCAAGATCTGTCTGACCTCAGCAATGATATCCCATGTTCCATGTTCTCTTCTGAATCTGGTTTGAATTTCTGGCAGCTTTCTGTCGACGTACTGTTGCAATCAATAAATTATCTTCAGCAAAATTTTACTTGCATGTAACATTAATGATATTGTTCAATGATTTCTGCATTCTCTTGGGTCACCTCTCTTTGGAATGGACATACATATGGATCTCTTCCAATCAGTTGGCCAGGTAGCTGTCTTCTAAATTTCTTGATGAGTGAGTGCTTCCAGTGCTGCATCGGTTTGTTGAAAGATTTCAATTTGTAGTGCATCAATTCCTGGAACCTTGTTTTTCACCGATGCCTTCAATGCTGGTTGGGCTTCTTCCTTCAGTACCATCAGTTCTTGATTATAAGCTACCTCTTGAAATGGTTGAACATTGCCTATTTCTTTTTGTGAATATATAGTGACTCTGTGTATTCCTTCCATCTTCTTTTGATGTTTTCTGCATCATTCAATATTTTTGCCCATAGAATCCTTCAATTTGCAGTTGAGGCCTAAATTTCTTTTTCAGATCTTTCAGCTTGAAAAATACTGAGTATGTCCTTCCCTTTTGGTTTTCTAACTACATGTTTTTGTACATTTCATTATATTACTTAACTTTGTCTTCTCAAGCTACCCTTTGGATTTTTCTCTTCAGTTAACCTCCTCTTTAGTCCATTCACTTTAGATTGTCTACACTCAAAAGCAAGTTTCAGAGTTTCTTCTGACATCCATTTTGGTCATTTCTTTCCTTTCTGTCTCTTTTTAATGACCTTTTTGCTTACTGCTTACATATCATGTTCTTGATGTCATTCCTCAACTCTTCTCATCTTGGGTCACTGATACCTAATACATCAAATCTGTTCCTGAGATGTTCTCTTTTCGCTTTCTTCAGCTTCAGCCTGAACTTGCATATGAGCAATGGATGGTCTGTTTCACAGTCTGCCCCGACCTTGCTTTGATTGATGATGTTGAGCTTTTCAGTCTCTTCTCACAGACGTAGTCAATTTGATTCCTGTGTATTCCATCAGGTGAAGTCCAGGTGTATAGTCACCTTTATGTTATTTTAAAAAGGTATCTGCATTGAATAAGTCATTGGTCTTGCAAAGTTCTATCTTGTGATTTCCAGCATCATTTCTATCACTAAGGTCATATTTTCCAACTACTGATCCCTTCTCTTTGTTTCCAACCTTTGCATTCTACTTGCCAGTAATTATGAAGCATCTTGATTGCATGTTTGATCAATTTCACACAGAAGTTGGTTGTTGTTGTTGTGAAGTGCCATCGAGTTGACTCCACCCCATAGCAACCCTGTATAGGGTTTCCAAGAGCAGCTGGTGAGTTTAAACTGCAGACCTTGTGGTTCGCAGTTCATACTGGTCTTACAGCACCACACCAGAAGTTGGTTGTTGTTGTTGTGGTTAAGTGCCGTTGAGTTGATTCCGACCCATAGGAATCAACTGTATAGGGTTTTCAAAGAGCTTGAACCACTGACCTTGCAGCTTAAATGACTTTGCAATCTGACGCATTAGCCCACAGCACCATACCACACATTGGTAGAATTCTTCAATTTCATTGTTGCTAGCTTTAGCGGTTGGTGTGTAAATTTATAGTGATAGTAATTGGTCTTTCTGGTAGGCATATGGATATTATTCTATCACAAACAGCATTGTACTTGAAAATAGACTTTGAAATGTTCTCTTTGATGATGAATGCAACGGCATTCCTCTTTAATTTATTGTTCCTGGTATAGTAAACCATATGATTGTCTGATTCAAAATGGCTTATGCCAGCTCACTAATGCTTAGGATATTGATCTTTATGTGTTTCATTTCATTTTTGACAACTTTCAATTTCATACTTTGTATGTTCTATAGTGTAGTGGTTACGAATCGGGCTGCGAACCGCAAGGTCAGCAGTTCAAAACGACCAGCTGTTCCGCAGGAGAAAGATGAGGCTGTTTGCTCCTGTAAAGATTTACAGCCCCGGAAACCCTGTACAGGGTCGCTATGAGTTGGAACCAACTCTATGGCACATAACCATGTATTGATTATTAATGGATGTTTATAGCTGTTTCTCTTAATTTTGAGTTGTGCCAATGAAGGTTCTGAAAACGTTGCTCCATTCACGTGAGTATGGTTAACGCTACGTTGAGGAGGCAGCTCTTCACCAGTGGTATTTTGAATGCCTTCCAACCTGAGGGGCTCAAATTCTGGCTCTGTATTTGACAACATTCTGATGCTATTCATAATGTTTTCATTTTCCAGCATTAACTCTGACAACATTCCACTGCTGTTCATAAGGTTTTCATTGTCTAAACATTCAGAAATAGTCTGCCTGTCCTTCCTAGTCTGTCTTAGCCTGGAAGGTCCACTGAAACCTGTTTACTATTGATGGCCCTACTGGAATTTAAAGTATTGGTGGCATAGCTTCCAGCATCGCAGCAAAATGCAAGCCACCACAGTAAGGCAAACTGGCAGATGTTGTAGGGTGGTTAATGGGAAGGGAGTATTCTTTTTTCTTTAAGTTTTTAATTGTGGTTGAGTGAAAGTTTATAGATCATCAGGGCAGATCATCAGTTTAACATTCAACAAATCATACAGCTTGTTTCATCATAATGATTACAATTCCCTCCATGTACCATCAGTTAACAGTATTTCTCTCTATTCACTTTAGCTTTTTTTCTTTCTTTCTTTTTTTTTTTTAAACACTCAGGCATATATAATAATTTAAACCACCAAATGGCACATTCTGCAAGTCTGCCTCCTGGATACTATCTCTTAGTCCCTCTCTTCCCAGGAATCTAGAGTCCTTAGCCTCTCCCCCTCCCCATGTCCCCATCTCTGCCTCCATATCTGGTGTCACGGCTTCTCTGGATAAAGTCCCACATTCCGCTTGTGCTCTCCTCCCTTGATAGTCCTAAGGTCCTTTGTTTCTGGACTCTAAGATTAACTGCTCCCCCATTTTTGTTACAAAACTTCTACCTTTACAGTTGTGACAGTTGCATTTAGTCATGATGACAATTATTCACTATTGAATCTTATGAATCTTATCCCCACTTCTTTTAACCAGACCCATCTAGACAAGATGAAAACTATTCAGTGTGGGCTTTTTCTTCCCCCACACACTCTTAAACTAAACTCTTTCTTGAAACCTTATAAGCCAGTCACTTTGTGCCTTTATCTCCCCCTCATTTTAGGTAGCCAATGTCGAAGTTGCCCGTCCCTATCTACCCTGTGTACAGAGGGGATAGCATTGATACTTGATGTGACGACTCAGAAGGGAGTATTCTTAGAGGACTCTGTAAATACCACAGCTCTAAGCAGTTACTGCTTTTACTATCAGTGATAGTTTCCCCCCACCCCCATCCATAAATGGTGCAATTCTGACCACATAGACATAAGTCCGTATTAGCCCAGTCTTTCATTCTGTCTAACCAGTGCCTACTGCCTGCTAGGCCATGTTCTAACGTGATTAATGAGAAAGGAATATTGCTGAAGAGCTCTGTAAACTCTAAAGGTCTAAGCAGTTACTGCTTTTACTATCACTGGTAATTTTTTCCACAAATCAACAGAATAAAATGAATTACATGAACAACAGAGGAAAGATACAGAAAATAATTTCTTGGCCTCGAGATTTAAAAAAAGAAATCTTCTTCTGAAGAGATTCAGGAAGAAAGAAGGTCCTCCCTCATTCATTCTGGATGTTTCTCTCAGCCATCCTCAGGAAGCCTCCAACTTTCTGTGATTATTTTCTTGTTGTGGTTAAGTGCTGTGGAGTCGGTTCCGTTTCATAGGGACCCTATACAGGGTTTCCAAGGTGGGTTTGAACAGCCAACCTTGAGGTTAGTGGTCCAGAGCTTACCCTACAACGCCACAGCATCCGAAAGCCCTACAGTCTCTAGACAATAATTCTAGTTTTGCCCAACACTATTCATGTTTTGTCACCACTCTCAATCTGTCTGGGCTTCCGGTTTCTTCAATAAAACGAGACCGAGACGGGCGCCTTAAGCACCCGTTTAGCATCTATAAGACTCATTAGCAAAGCAAGGGCGCTGAGTCAAGATGCTTTCAGACCACATAGAGTTAAGTTAGGATAGGCGACCTATCCTGGGATAGGCGACCCATGCCCAAAGCTCAGACGAGGGCTCGAACCCATGCAGTCCAGCCCGTGCTTGCCTCCTTATCACCAGATTTCATTAGAAACCGAAACAGAAAACAGGAAAGTCCCTCTTTTCTAACCTGAAATGCAGCTATTCGCTTGGAGACTAGTGACGGCAACCCGCGGTCCAGGCCCTGATTGGCTGGGTGCGCCTCTTATATAAGTGGGTGCGCGGGATGGTACGGACATTCCAGGGACTGACTGCGCCGGGTTTCGCTTCGGCTTCGTGGTGTCTCCCTTCACGATGTCTCACTTCGTGGTCTTGACTCTGGTCGCGCTGCTCTCTCTGTCCAGCCTGGACGCCGTGCAGCGTGAGTGTTCCCTCTGTATCGTCTCTTCCCTGTCACCCCTTCCCGGCTCTCTTGACTTGTATCCCACCCAAGTTCTTTCTCCCAATCTGAGGGCTCGCCAGGGGCTCTATCTCGAGGTTGGGAGTGGCTGGTGGCAGGCAAGGGCGAAGGGAGTGCATTCCCGGGGCTTAACGTTTCTTGTCCCCTTCCAGAAGAGTCGCCCGAAGCCCTGGCCTCCCGCGGCTGGGCGAGTCGGACAAAGTTTGGGGTATTAAGCTTCAGAGCAACAGGAGGAGTAGGAGAGAATAGTTTCTCTTTCGCTTTTCCGAGGGAACCTAGGTTCTGGGCGCAGCTGGAGGGTTGGGTGGCTTAAGTTAGACCTGCCCCAAAGACTTAGGGTTGGGGGTTGTGAAGTGGCGGAGACGGGTGCCTGGGGCTTGGGGCACACAGTCCCAGGGTATATGAGTTCTCCTCCCCCTGCCCCTCCCGGATGATCTGCGGGCTTCCTCTGGGCGTCAAGCTCGCCTTCCTCTTCTCAATACCTGATCTGTGCGAAATCAAACCTTGGCAAGGAATCAGCTATTGTAGACTGAGTTGTTAAAAAGAGCTTTCCACATCCACTCATCTGTTTTAAAAATGGTTAACAGCTACTCGTTATTGAGAGTTCGCTGTGTTTCATTTAATTCTGAAAATGTTCTTAGGATGTAATATTCACATTATCATTCACATCTTCCAGATGAGGAAACTGAGGCACTGAGACTTTAAGTAACTTAATCATACGGGATAAACAGTAGACAATTGGGATTGAAATTGAACGTGTCCTGAGCATTTTGCAGAGGCGTTGCCAGAGTTCCCTTTTCTCAGAACCGTGTATCTCACTTCCGCTCCTCCTTTTCTAACCCTTCTGAAATTTGCCGTTGGGTAAATGCTGCCATTTTGATCTCAAATGGTTGATTATTCTCAAGTGTGTGCACCTCACTAGCATATTGTTTGCCTTATGTTGTTGTTGTTAGGTGCCATCGAGTTAGTACCGACTCATAGCGACCCTATTCACGACAGAACAAAACACTGCCCGGTCCTGGGCCAACCTCACATTCGTTGCTAGACCTGAGCCCATTGCTGCTACCACTGAGCCAATCTATCTCATTGGGGATCTTCTTTTTTTCTCTGACCCTCTACTTTACCAAACATGATACCCTTCTCCAGTGACTGGTCTCTCCTGATAACATGTCTAAAGTATGACAACCTGCGATATGTAGATGATACAACCTTGCTTGTTGAAAGTGGATAGGACTTAAAATGCTTACTGATGAGGATCAAAGATCACAGCCTTCAGTATGTATTGCATCTCAATGTAAAGAAAGCAAAAATCCTCACCAATGGACCAATAAGCAACATCCATATAAATGGAGAAAAGATTTAAGCTGACCAAGACTTGATTTTGCTCAGATCAACCATCAACACTCATGGAAGCCGCAGTCAAGAAATCAAACGACATAGTGCATTAGGCGGATATACTGTACAAAACCTCTTCAAAGTGTTGAAGAGCAAAGATCAGTTTGAGGACTAAGGTTACACATGACCCAAGCCATGGTATTTTCAGTAACCTCATATGCATGTGAAAATTGGACAGTGAATAAGGACGACTGTAGAAGAATTGATGCATTTGAGTTATGGTGTTGGAAGAGAATATTGAAAGTACCATGGACTGCCGAAAGAGCAAACAGATCTGTGTTGGCAAAGTATAGCCAAGAGTGGTCCTTGGAAGCCAGGATAGCCGAACTTTGTCTCTCGTACTTTGGACATATTATCAGGAGGGACCAGTTTTCCTTATAGACCTGTGTATTGTTTGGCTAAATATTAAGCCATGGGGGTGAGTTCATTTAGAGACCTGAAGGATGACTAAGGTCCATAGTCTTGGGCATTTCACCAGTCTTTACTTGATCAGTAAACCTAGTCATTTTTATGATTTTGAGTTTTGTCCCACATTTTTTCTCCCACTCTATCCAGGACTTTCTAATACGATTCCTTTCAGAGCAATTGGCAGTGGTAGCTGGGCACCACATAGTTCTTTTGGTCTCAGGGTTGTGGAGATTGATGTTTACATGGTCCATTAGTCCACTGGACTAGTTGTTTCCATGCTTCTTCAGTTTTCATTACTCTTCTCAATATTTGCAGCTTAGATGGTACTCACAGCTTTTAAGATCTCAGTCACTACTCAGCAAAGTAGGATGTAGAAGAGTGTCTTTGTGGACTATGTTATGCCAATTGACCTTGGACACCATAAATTTTGAGCACTTCCTAAGTGTCTGGTCCAGAGGCAATGTGATGGGCCCTTGCATGGTTTTTGATCATGAGAAAATGATGTTTAATTTAAAATATAACTTATTTACAAAATAAAACATAACATATGCATCATCACCATTTTTGAAATTTGTTTATGACTAGATGTCCTGGTGTGGGCTGTAGGATCAGTATTGGACTGCGAACCACACACAGTTGGCAGTTTAAACTCACCAGGTGCTCCTTGGAAAGCCTATACAGGGTCACTATGAGTTGGAACCAACTTGATGGTAAAACTTGGTAAAAACAACCACTGATGTCATTTAAAATAATAACCCCCCAAATTTTTTAAGTTAATTTTTAAAAGTCCAAAGTAAAACATGTCATGTATAGGCCATTTCTGAACGGTACACAAGAAACTGGTCATTGCCTCTAGGATCTGTTTTCCCTTTTGTCTTGTGTGTGTGTGGGTTTTATTTCGTTTTACTACAGGCATAAATTAATTTTTCAATTAAACTTCACATGGATGATCAAGCTTGGTGCCTTGATCTAGTTTTAAATCAAGTTAACCCAAGTGAAATATTCTGACAATTTTCATTTGTGTTTCTCTGATGTTCCTCAGGACCTCCAAATGTTCAAGTGTATACTCGCTATCCAGCAGAGAATGGAAAGCCAAATTTCTTGAATTGCTATGTGTCTGGCTTTCACCCACCTCAGATTACAATCGACTTATACAAGAATGGTGAGAAGATCACAGAGAAAGTCGAACGGTCCGACTTAGCTTTCAGCAAGGATTGGTCTTTCTATCTCTTGGTCCACACTGAATTCACCCCCAATGACAATGACGCATACACTTGCCATGTGGAGCATGTTACTCTCAAGAAACCTAAGATAGTTAAGTGGGGTGAGTTTTCATGGTCTTTCCTTAACTGCTAATAGAATATAGCGGTGGCACAAAGCTGCTTTGATATTAAAAACAATCTGCACAGTGGGCTCACCAGGGAATGTTATTAAAGTTCTAATTAGGACCCATAACATCATGTGAATCCAATATCCTGTTCGTGGCATCTGCTGAAAGTCCTTGGCTGAATGATGTTTTCTGATCCCTGACACAGTTTTCTCCCTGCAGATAAGCAAAGAACAGTAGCAGCATTTGTACAAATGTACACCACACATTCCCAATGTTTCTTACCTATTAACTCCCATAGGCTCTCCTGACAGAAACATGGATACTTTCGACTAACTACACAGCATCAGAGTGTCTGTTGTTAAGTTCTGCTATTCTAGTGCCCTACAGTCCTGAACTCCTTCAGTACCCTGTGACTGGGTTGGGTCCTACTACTAGATAGTTCTAAACAAGATATTCATGCTTAGGAACAGTAGGCTATCCTGCTAGCCTTATTTAGAACAGTTTTACATATATATTAATACATAGTATTCTAAAAACTAAAACTGAGTCTTCTTCCCCCCCCACCTCATTTTCTTTTTCATAGATCGAGACAACTAACCAGTATCATGGAGGTAGGTGTCTGACCTTCAGGAAACCTTTTCTGTTTTACTTTCCTGGGAACTGTTTACAGAGCACTTTGCCATCATAACTGTCACTGTATGGGGACATTACTTGGGGTGGCATTTCAACAGGAAAGAAGGATCCTATGGGCACATTTCCTTCTCCTCTGAGTGGCATGAACAAGGCATGTGTCTCCAGGTGTGGCTCTGCCAGTATCCCTGACCTCTAGCTGCCCGTGTGATGTGGGAAGGTCTGAGGCAGCTAGTTAACCTGCAAGGGTTTGATCTTTCCTCTGCCATGTCCATTCTGGGCATCTGCTGAGAAAAAGATCTTTAGAAAAAGAAATGCTCTCTTCCTCTGTAGCAAAACCCACTGCTATGAGGCCATTCCAACTCATAGCCACCCTACAGAGCGAGTGTGAGGCTATAACTCTTAGTGGGAGCAGACAGCCTCATCTTGCTTTGGTATGTTGTTGTTGTTGTTAAGTGCCATTGAGTCAATTCCAACCCATAGCAACCCAGTATAGGGATTTCCGAGTAGCAGCTAGTGAGCTTGAACTGCTGCCCTTGCAGTTCAAATGGCTTTACAGTCTGGCGCGTTAGCCCACAGTGCCAAACCAGGACCTCTTTCTTTTGGCATTGTTGTACCGTAGAGTCGGTTCCAACTCATAGTGACCCTGCACAGGGTTTCCCAGGCTGTAAATCTTTACGGGAGCAGAACGCCTCATCTTTTTCCCGTGGAACCGCTGGTAGTTTTGAACTGCTGACCTTGAGGTTGGCAGCCCAACTTGTAACCACTACGCTACCAGAGCTCCTTTCTTTTGGCATAGCACTTCCTTTATTCTTCAGTCAGAAGAGAGGAGTGACATGGTTCTATAGATGTCTCATTCCTTCAGTCACTTGTTTAGCCTCAGTATGTGCATTGTGGTTACCTTCTAGAGGTCCCCAGGCCATGGGAGGAGATGAATGAAAACATTGTTACATTAGTTTTTCAGCGAGATTTTATTCCACAGGGTACCTCGATGCTAAAAGCCCATTCATATCTCCTGCTAAATTCTGACAGGGAAGTTGATTTGAAAGAATGTCAGAGAGGTTAGGTTGACCTGCCCAGAGTCACACAATTACTAGATGGTAGAACCAGGACCCAAACTGTAAAACCAGCGTTCTTTCCTCAAAGGTTGTAGGAGTGCTAATGGGATAAACTAATGGGATATGCTCTTTGTCTGGACAGTTCTCCGCAGTGACTTCATTTACAAACACTGATTTATACAGCAAAGTTAAGTTAGATAAGATTGGTAGTGACATCTATAATCCAAATAGAATAAATGCATTTGTTAGTAAAATGTTTTTCTTTTTCTTTTAGGATTTGAAGATGCGTCATTTGATTGGACTAATTCCACATTATCTCTCTAGTTTGAGAGATATGAGCAGCAACTTTGTTTATAATTCTACTTTAAGAACTCTGGTTAAGAATTGGACAGAAAAAAAGTCTTAAGCTTATCATTAACTTCCTGATCAAATGTAAATTCTGTATTCCATTCTTTATGGAGTAATTAAAGCTGAATAATCAGATAATTTATGCATATTCAGAATTAAACTAAAATTTGCTTGCACTACTTTGAAATGAGGCTTTCTGTTCCTGTCAAGATTTACAGCCTTGGAAAACCCTGTTCAAGGTCGCTATGGGTCGAAACCGACTTGACGTCACTTAAAAACAACAACTTAGAAATTTAGAAAAATTAACAAGAATATTAGAAATGTGTAATACTGATAGAAGCATTGGTTAAATAAAATTCATTTTTCCACCAAGTAAAATGTGACTGAGCATGTCAGTAATTAAAGGTTTGAAAATTTTAATGTGTTTAATTTCTTAACTATCATTCGCCCTCTTAACCCCCTTTGTTTTCAAATAGGAAAATGGCCTTTCATGTCACTTGAAGAGTGTGAACCCTTACGTAGAGCTTGGCTCATAGTGGAAAGGGCCTCAGAGATTCACATCAGGGGTAACCTGATGCCCAGAGAGGTCAATGACTTAGCTAGGGTGACACAGCTGTCTGCTGGGAGACTGGGATTTGGTGTGGATGGCACAGGACTAGGTAGTGCTTTATTCTGTTGTATATGTATATATGTATATGGTGGTGGTGGTTATGTGTCATGGAGTTGGCTTTGACTCTTAGCGATCCATATAAGGTCTCTGAGGCTGTAAATCTTTACCGGAGCAGAAAGCCTAATTTTTCTCCTACATATATATGGGGGACATGGTGGCTTTGTAGGATAAGCACTGGACTGTGAACCATAAGGTCAGTGGTTCGAGCCCACAGTTAGAGTCCACCAGATGCTCTATGGGAGAAAGATGAGACTTTCAGCTCCTGCAAAGATTTACAGCCTAGGAAACCCCTATACAGGGTTGATAGGAGTTGGAGTCCTAGTGTGTGGTGCTGTAGGATAAAGCACTGGACTGCAAGGTTGGTTTGAACCACAAGGTTGGCAGTTCAAGCTCACTAGCCACTCCTTGGAAACCTATACAGGGTCAATTATGACTAGGAACCAACTCAATAGCACAATAATAATGAGTTTGAACTAACTCAGTGGTATTCAACAACAACAACATTGGGTTTCCTAAGAGCAGTTGGTGCATTTGAACCACTGACATCGAGGTTAGTAGTCCAGTGCCACACCAGGACTCTCTATTTTATATAAAATCTCTAGATCTATGTACAAGCAAGGTTGAACACTATTGAGCTAGATCATAAAACACTCTGTCTTAGGCTGAGTTCTCTAGAGAACCAAACCCAGTGAAGTTTACACACACACACATATATATTTACATACATACATATATGGAGTCCTGGTGTGGCACTGGATTAATGCACTGGGCTGCAAAGTCATTTGAACTGCAAGGCCATTTGTTCAAGCTCACCAGCAGCTAGCTCCTCAGAAACCCTATACAAGGTTGCTATGGGTCAGAACCAACTTGATGGCACTTAACAACAACACATATGTACACACACACACATATATATATATGTTGTTGTTGTTATGTGCCGTGGAGTCGGTTCCGAATCATAGTGACCCTGTACAGGGTTTCTGAGGCTGTAAATCTTTATGGCTTTATGGGAGCAGAAAGCCTCATCTTTCTCCCATGGAACAGCTGGTAGTTTTGAACTGCTAACCTTGTGGTTTGCAGCCCGATTCATAACCACTAGCTACCAGAGTTCCTTTTACACACACACACACACAGATAGATAGATAGATAGATAGATAGATAGATAGATAGATAGATAGATAGATAGAAAGAGAGAGAGATTTATCTCAAGGAACTGGTGTCTGGTTTAAGGCTGACTCACCTGCAGGTGATTCAAGATCAGTAGGTTAGACAGGAGGCTGATAGTAGGTTAGGTAATATGATGGACTGCTGACGACTCCCCGGATTGGTCAGCAGTATGTCAGGCAACTGGCATCCAAAGAACCAAAGATGTGATGACAAACTAGATGTAAGGCCCACGTCCAGCAAAAAGCAAACAAGCTTTGCTATAGCATCCACATATATTGGAAGTAGACCAGTTGATACATACAAATGATCTGTTATGTATGTTAGGTCAATTCTGACTCACAGCAACCCTATATAGCATGTTAGAACTGCCCTTTAGGGTTTCTTAGGCTGTCAGCTTTTCTGTTTTTCTCTCCCCAAGAATTGATGGTGGGTTTAAACCCTCACCCTTTTTATAAGGTTTGTCTGGTGTTTGTAAACCTTTTCATTTTGGTTTATTTGGAGATGTCCTAATTTCTCTGTCATATTTGAAGAGCAATTTTGCTGGGTATATGAGTCCTGATATGTTGATGTAGGGTAAGCACTGGATGGCTAATGGCAAGGTCTATGGTTCAAATCCACCAGTTGCTCCTTGGAAACCATATACAGGGTCGCTGAGAGGTGGAGGTGACTCCATGGCACTTGGCAACAATGTGATTCTTGGTGGGCAATTTTTTTCTTTCAGAGTTTTATATATGTCTTCCCATTTCTTCTTTTTTTTTTTTAATTTAAGGTTTTTATTGTGGATTGAGTGAAAGTTTACAGGGCACATCATCAGTTTTACATTCAACAATTCATATAACTTGTTTCATTATGTGATTATAATCCCCTCCATATACCATCAGTTAAGAGTATTTCTTTTTATCCACTTTAGCTTTTTTTAAAAAAACACACA